TTGCTGGGCATGAAAAATCTAATATAGCTATGCTACAAGGATTGGCCTTGGGGTCTGGCATATTCCCTTGATCTCATTTGGAGAATAGTTTGCCATGATTGCTTAGGTATCCAGGTGAGCGATACAGGCCCTCTGGGCCTCTTGTTATCGGTATATCTCAAGTACCAAAGGGATCTTTCTCAAATTTGATATGTATGTTCCCCTTGGTCCTAAGCTGTGCAGGGCAACTTTTGATACTGATCAGATAAACAACATGGCAGACATGCAGCCTTCTTGGATTTTGATAGTGAAAGTTTGTTATCGCTATGTCTGGGGAAGTACCAAAGGGATCTTTCTCAAATTTGATTTGTAGGTTTCCCTTGGTCCTAGCTGTGCAGTGCAAGTTTTGAGACTGATCGGATAAACAACATGGCAGACAGGCAGCCATCTTCGATTTTGGATAGTGAAAGTTTGTTATCGCTATTTCTGGGGAAGTACCAAAGGGATCTTTCTCAAATTTGATTTGTAGGTTTCCCTTGGTCCTAGCTGTGCAGTGCAAGTTTTGAGACTGATCGGATAAACAACATGGCCGACAGGCAGCCATCACAGATTTTTATTGTGAAAGTTTGTTATCGCTATTTCTCGGGAAGTACCAAAGGGATCTTTCTCAAATTTGATATGTAGGTGGCGCAAGGTGCATTTACTGTTAACATGACTCGATCAAACAGATTTGAGGAAAGAAGACAAACTGACAAAGAACTAATGAAGATGGTACAATGGTGGGCGCCAAGATTCCTTTGGGATCTCTTGTTTTGTATATAAAGAAATGGAGATCATACAGATTTGATTTTTATGTATGCTCTGTTACAGGGGGGTGCTGGGTCAGACTCTGAGAGTGATGATGACAGCAGCAGTGGAGAGTCTGATGACAGCAGTGAACAGGACAGTGGTCAAGTGGTCAGCGATGTTGTGGTGAAAGGTGGAAAGGTCAGTATACTCATAATAAACAACATTTGAAATAGTGCCCTATCTAGCTAACATAGACTACTCTAAGCACTTTACAGTACATACATATATTAATCAATAAAATTTTGTGGAATTCACAGGAGCTGCCTTATCAGGCGCTAACTACTAGTCCTATGCCACCTGGCGAATATTTCCCTATGAGTGTATGCCTGTGTGTGTGCTGGAGATGTAATTTGTTCTGTTTGTAGTGGGACCGTGCTTCCAACGGCATCATTTATAATGCCACCTAACTTGAATGCTACAGCACAGATACCGCAACATCCACCACAGGCCAATTTATACTCCACCTGGGTTGTTGGAGTTGTGTGGGCAGGAGAAAAACATTTTCTCTGAATATCCATGCGTATGGCGACATCGTGAACCACTCAACCAATCCGCCCATATTGTTTCAAACTTAAGATGTAACCAATTATTAACCCTGGGTTATCTGTAAAACTGTAGGTCACTTAATAGATGTTGTTTTCACTGTGGTATATGTATATACATTTTTAATGTAAATAATGTGTGCTGTTGAACCATTCAGACAGAAGAGGACCTCACGTGTCGTATGTGTGAGAAACAAGGGGAGACAGATGAAGATATGGTTCAATGTTCAGAGTGTAAGAAGTTTGGTAAGTACTCTGTGATGTACCATCCACCTGCTTTGTCTAAGTCCATTATTAAGTTGTATCTTGTCATCATTCTTTGTTACAGGTTGGGATTTGTTTTCCCAATCGCTGTAGACGTTTGTGTTCATCCACCACTTTTTCAATAAAGTTTAATAAACCTACAAAACATCATATATACCCTAACAGAAAATATGCATACTGCAATCTTGAAAGTATATACATTTATTTGGAAAAAATACACAACAATATAATGAATGTAAATAACTTTCTTTCTTGTTGATTTCATACAATAAAATAATGTTCATTATTTGGTGTTAACTTGCTTATATTACTGAATCTTAAATTAAATTGTAAAAGACAACAAATTCAGCACATGTCATAAGATGATGGAATTCAGATTTGTTCAAGTGTGATAGGAGTGAGTCCTTCAGAGTGACTAACATGCAATCAGAAAGGACATATACTGTTGTAGTGAATTATGTCTGTTCTGTTGACCTGTTAAGTTGTCAAATTACACAATTGACCTGTTTGAATTTTCATCAAAGGGTACAAGATATATAAAGCTATTTTTATGTTAAGGGCACCCTACCTGTCTGGATCTGACAGCAGAGATGGTGACCGTTATAAAAACATATCCGTGGCAGTGTATGGAGTGTAAAACATGTGTGGAGTGTATGGACCCTTATGATGAGGTAAGTAAACTCCTGGCAGTGTATGGAGTGTCCGGACCTGTATGATGAGGGAAGTAAACTCCTGGCAGAGTATGGAGCGAAAAACAGATGTGGAGTGTATGGAACCTTATCATGAAGTAAGTAAACTCCTGGCAGGGTATGGAATGTATGGAACCTTATGATGATGTAAGTAAACTCCTGGCCGTGTATGGAGTGTATGGGCCTGTATGATGAGGTAAGTATACTCGTGGCAGTGTATGGAGTGCAAAATATGGGTGGAGTGTATGGACCCATATGATGAGGTAAGTAAGCTCCTGGCAGTGTATGGGGTGTATGGAACCTTATGATGATGTAAGTAAACTCCTGGCGGTGTATGGAGTGTAAAACCTGTGTGGAGTGTATGGAACGTTATGATGAGGTAAGTAAATTCCTGGCAGTGTATGGATTGTAAAACATGTGTGGAGGGTATGGACCTGTATGATAAGGTACAGTTCTGTGCCAAAAGTAAAGATAAATCCAAGATGGCTGTCATTTAGGTATGTAAACTCCTGGCAGTGTATAGAGGGTAAAACATGTGTGGAGTGAATGGACCTGTATGAATCCGTGGCAGTGTATGGAGTGTCCGGACCTGTATGATGAGGTCCATACACTCCATCCATGCTTTGCACTCCATACACTTCCAGGAGTTTCCTTACCTCATCATACAGGTCTATACACTCCATACACTGCCACGACTTTACTTACCTCATCCTACAGGTCCATACACCCCATACATGCTTTGCACTCCATACACTGCCACACTCCATACATGCTTTGCACTCCATACACTTCCAGGATTTTACTTACCTCTTCATACAGGTCCATACACTCGATACACTGCCGGGAGTTTACTTACCTCTTCATACAGGTCCATACACTCGATACACTGCCGGGAGTTTACTTACCTCTTCATACAGGTCCATACACTCCATACAATGCCAGGAGTTTACTTACTTCATGATAAGGTTCCATACACTACGCACATGTTTTACACTCCCTGACCTTCACTAAACATAACTCTAGCGGGCACTGACCTTCACTAAACATAACTCTAGTGGACGCTGACCTTCACTAAACATACCTCTAGTGGAGGCTGAACTTCACTTAGCATACCTCTAGCGGACGGTGACTTTCACTAAACATACCTCTAGTGGACACTGCCTTCCACTAAACATACCTCTAGCGGACACTGACCTTCACTAAACATACCTCTAGCCGACGCTGAACTTCACTTAGCATACCTCTAGCGGACGCGGACTTTCACTAAACATACCTCTAGTGGACGCTAAACTTCACTTAACATACCTCTAGTGGACGCTAAACTTCACTTAACATACCTCTAGCGGATGCTGACCTTCACTAAACATAACTCTAGTGGACGCTGACCTTCACTTAACATACCTCTAGCGGACACTGACTTTCACTAAACATACCTCTAGCGGATGCTGACCTTCACTGAACATACCTCTAGTGGAGGCTGACCTTCACTAAACATAACTCTAGCGGGCACTGACCTTCACTAAACATACCTCTTGCGGACGCTGACCTTCACTTAACATACCTCTAGTGGAGGCTGACCTTCACTAAACATACCTCTTGCGGACGCTGACCTTCACTTAACATACCTCTAGTGGACGCTGACCTTCACTAAACATAACTCTAGCGGGCACTGACCTTCACTAAACATACCTCTAGCAGACGCTGAACTTCACTTAACATACCTCTAGTGGACACTGCCTTCCACTAAACATGTGTGGAGTGTATGGACCTGTATGATAAGGTACAGTGCTGTGCCAAAAGTAAAGATAAATCCAAGATGGCTGTCATTTAGGTAAGTAAACTCCTGGCAGTGTATGTAGTGTAAATCCTGAATGGCATGTATGGACGATGAGGTAAAATTCAGGGGTGTCATTGTATGGAGAGTAACATTGATACACTGTTACAGTGTCTGGTATGTAAGGACATTTTTACACTATAAAAATATTTTCTGTTTTATCAGGACAAGATGATATTCTGTGACCGCTGTGACCGAGGTTACCACACCTTCTGTGTTGGTTTGAGGTCCATCCCCAATGGCCAGTGGAAGTGTCGGAGTTGTAAGAGCCCAGACACTCCCCGCACACCAAAGTCATCTTCCAAGCTAAGGTTAGTACTGGAACCAGGCTGATATTCTAGCTCAACATTAATGCATTTTTACTTGGAAAAATACTGATGAGAAGAGCAATACCTTCAAATATTTTATGCATGTCTAATGGAATCAAAAGTTTTTTCTTTTTTTCTTTTCAATCAGACATCATGTTGATTTCCTTGAAAGTAATAGCTAACCTACTTTTTGGTATAGAAATACTTGATCTTGGCACCAAGATATACATTGTGTCTGTGTATCCATTTGGATGATTTAGATGGTTCTTATTCCACCAGGGGCAGAGGACGGAAGAGAGGCAACAACACTCCAGCTAAGGATGGATGATCTCTCCTCAAGGTCGCACTGTATCTGTAACCGTGACACACACCAGTGTTCGCACCATATTGTACTTGATCGTGAAACTGCTAAGCTATCACACAATGCACAAAGCCGTTTGCAAGATTAATGAATCACAGCGATAGAACTCACAAATATAGTTGTCAGAGGACAGTGATATTGTGATAGGAAATGACCAGTTTATACTGAGCTCTCTAAGTGAAAGGTTTTATTCCAGTACATGTAGTTTTTGATAGTGTAAATGGTTTATAAACCATTTTGATAATTATTGTTTTACAAGTGATTTTCTCTACAAGTAAATTATAAATGTTTAGAAAGAATAGGTCACAAGAGAATCTCACCTTATTTATATGTATTCAGTGCTTAATGTTTAGATTATATCTACATATATTCATAGGTATATAAATGTTAAGTATTTATGTAAAATTGCTCATAAGGTATCTGTAGGACTCAAGCAGTGCCTAACTTCAGCCAAGCTTCCACCAGTACATATATTAATGGACAACATTTCTCTAAATTTGAATGTTGTAATGATCATCAAAATGCCCCCCCCCCCCCTTCTCAAATCCCCCTAACCCCACCAGAAAACATGATTTTTTTTTTTTTTTTACAACATATGAAAGATTGTCTGTGAAAATAAAATGCAAGGGAAATACAAGGGAGAATGAAATCCAACGTCCGCTAGAGTTATGTTTAGTGAAGGTCAGTGTCAACTGGAGGTACTAGAGGTATGTTTAGTGAAGGGCAGTGTCCACTAGAGGTATGTTAAGCGAAGGTCAGTGTCCGCAAGAGGTATGTTTAGTGAAGGTCAACGTCTGCTAGAGGTATGTTAAGTGAAGGTCAGCGTCCACTAGAGGTATGTTTAGTGAAGGTCAGTGTCCACTAGAGGTATGTTAAGTGAAGGTCAGTGTCCGCAAGAGGTATGTTTAGTGAAGGTCAGCATCCGCTAGAGGTATGTTTAGTGAAGGTAAGCGTCCGCTAGAGGTATGTTTAGTGAAGGTCAGCGTCCACTAGAGGTATGTTTAGTGGAAGGCAGCATCTGCTAGAGGTATGTTTAGTGAAGTTCAGCATCCGTTAGAGGTATGTTTAGTGAAGGTCAGCGTCCACTAGAGGTATGTTAAGTGAAGTTCAGCGTCGGCTAGAGGTATGTTTAGTGAAGGTCAGCCTCCACTAGAGGTATGTTTAGTGAAGGTCAGTGTCCGCTAGAGGTATGTTACGTGAAGGTCAGTGTCCGCTAGAGGTATGTTTAGTGAAGGTCAGCGTCCGCAAGAGGTATGTTTAGTGAAGGTCAGCATCCGCTAGAGGTATGTTTAGTGAAGGTCAGTCTCCACTAGAGGTATGTTAATTGGAGGTCAGCGTCCGCTAGAGGTATGTTTAGTGAAGGTCAGTGTCAACTGGAGGTATGTTTAGTGAAGTTCAGTGTCAACTGGAGGTATGTTTAGTGAAGTTCAGTGTCAACTGGAGGTATGTTTAGTGAAGGTCAGCGTCCACTAGAGTTATGTTTAGTGGAAGGCAGCATCTGCTAGAGGTATGTTTAGTGAAGTTCAGCATCCGTTAGAGGTATGTTTAGTGAAGGTCAGCGTCCACTCGAGGTATGTTTAGTGGAAGGCAGTGTCCACTAGAGGTATGTTTAGTGAAGGTCCGCATCCGCTAGAGGTATGTTTAGTGAAGGTCAGCGTCTGCTAGAGGTATGTTTAGTGAAGTTCAGCATCCGTTAGAGGTATGTTTAGTGAAGGTCAGCGTCCACTAGAGGAATGTTTAGTGGAAGGCAGCGTCCACTAGAGGTATGTTAAGTGAAGGTCAACGTCCGCTAGAGGTATGTTAAGTGAAGGTCAGTGTCCGCTAGAGGTATGTTTAGTGAAGGTCAGCATCCACTAGAGGTATGTTAAGTGAAGGTCAGCGTCCGCTAGAGGTATGTTAAGTGAAGTTCAGCGTCGGCTAGAGGTATGTTTAGTGAAGGTCAGCCTCCGCTAGAGGTATGTTTAGTGAAGGTCAGTCTCCACTAGAGGTATGTTAATTGAAGGTCAGCGTCCGCTAGAGGTATGTTTAGTGAAGGTCAGTCTCCACTAGAGGTATGTTAATTGAAGGTCAGCGTCCGCTAGAGGTATGTTTAGTGAAGTTCAGCGTCCACTAGAGGTATGTTAAGTGAAGGTCAGTGTCCACTAGAGGTATGTTAAGTGAAGGTCAGCGTCTACTAGAGGTATGTTTAGTGAAGGTCAGTCTCCACTAGAGGTATGTTAATTGAAGGTCAGCGTCCGCTAGAGGTATGTTTAGTGAAGGTGAGTGTCCACTAGAGGTATGTTAAGTGAAGATCAGCGTCTACTAGAGGTATGTTTAGTGAAGGTCATTCTCCACTAGAGGTATGTTAATTGAAGGTCAGCGTCCGCTAGAGGTATGTTAAGTGAAGGTCAGTGTCCACTAGAGGTATGTTAATTGAAGGTCAGCGTCCGCTAGAGGTATGTTTAGTGAAGTTCAGCGTCCACTAGAGGTATGTTTAGTGAAGGTCAGCGTTCCCCACTTGATAGATTCCTAAATGGGATTCATTAGTCCTGCCATAAGAGTTTTGATAACATACCTGAAGAACAGAAAGTTTCAATAATTATGGTTTCTTGCACATAATGGGTTAAACACCAGTGTAAGAAGTTACACCTCAATAATCAAGATATTGGTCTTTTTTACTTTGTGATTGTTTTCCATATTTTTGAGTGTCTGTCAGATGCTTCATATAGGCGATCTACATGTAAATTTGATTATTAAATGTTGTAAGAAAACTTGTCTTGTACTGTGGTTGTTCTATAGTGTTTTGTCAGTGACAGATATATGATTGTTCTTAAACAGCTGAATTATTGTTCAGTGACAGTGTAGTTATGTGCAGAAGAATTGGGAATTAAAAATACCCAGCAATATTTAGCACACAAGATCAAAAACTGAATCCAACAGAATTGAGGAAACACCAAAACATCAGGCATGCCGTCATAAACTCCAACTGCAGAAAACCAAACCAGGTCTTCAAGTCTTAACAACATGTGCCACACAAGGTGTTTTGGTGGACAACTGTATAATACGTAGCCAACTAGTGTGACATCATTGTAGACACGGAGATCTCATAGCTCAAAATCAAGTCTTGATCAGGATGTATTTCTTCATTGCTGATCGAAACCCTTTCCATTGAAAGCATGCTGGCTATGCAAGCATAATGCTTATCTTAATACTGAAATCAGAAACTCCATCAGGATAAATGTGTGTTTCTACTAAGGAAGGAAAATTAATGATAGTGAAATTTAAACTTTAAGTTGTAACTATTTTTTCATATTGTAGGTAAATGTCCAAACAATTAAGCTGGCTTATGATACAAAGTATGTATCAAAATTCAAAAAGGTAAAAATAAAGAAAGTTAAATAGAAAATACCAGTCCTTTGAGCCTGTATCTTAGCTGTTACTCAACGATGTTTGGAACTCATCTTACATCGATGACCTTTAGTGGGTCAATGATAATTGTATTTAAACAAACATAATAGCAAGCATCCAAACAGGATAAATATCATCTCACTTTATACATATTTGTTAGATATCACCACACTATATACATATTTGTTAGATATCACTACACTATATACATATAGTTATATATCATCACACTATATACATATTCGTTAGATATCACTACACTTTATACATATTTGTTATATATCACTACACTATATACATATTTGGTAGATATCACCACACTTTATACATATTTGTAATATATATCATCATCACACTATATATATATTTGTTATATATCACCACACTATATACATATTTGTTAGATATCACCACACTATATGCATATTTGTTAGATATCACTACACTATATACATATTTGGTAGATATCACCACACTTTATACATATTTGTTATATATCATCACACTATATACATATTTGTTATATATCATCACACTTTATACATATTTGTTAGATATCATCATCACACTATATACATATTTGTTATATATCACCACACTATATACATATTTGTTAGATATCACCACACTATATACATATTTGTTAGATATCACTACACTATATACATATTTGGTAGATATCACCACACTTTATACATATTTGTTATATATCATCACACTATATACATATTTGTTATATATCATCACACTATATACATATTTGTTATATATCATCACACTATATACATATTTGTTATATATCATCACACTATATACATATTTGTTAGATATCATCACACTATATACATATTTGTTATATATCATCACACTTTATACATATTTGTTATATATCATCACACTATATACATATTTGTTATATATCATCACACTACATGTATATACATATTTGTAAGATATCATCACACTATATACATATTTGTTATATATCATCACACTATATACATATTTTTTATATATCATCACACTATATACATATTTGTTATATATCATCACGCTATATACATATTTGGTAGATATCACCACACTATATACATATTTGTTATATATCATCACGCTATATACATATTTGGTAGATATCACCACACTATATACATATTTGTTATATATCATCACACTATATACATATTTGTTATATATATCACCACACTATATACATATTTGGTAGATATCACCACACTATATACATATTTGTTATATATCACCACACTATATACATATTTGTTATATATCATGACACTATATACATATTTGTTAAGATATAAGCACACTATATACATATTTGTTAGATATCACCACACTATATACATATTTGTTAAATATCATCACACTAGATACATATGTGTTAGATATCACCACACTATATACATATTTGTAAGATATCACCACACTATATACATATTTGTTATATATCATCACACTAGATACATATTTGTTAGATATCACCACACTATATACATATTTGTAAGATATCATCACACTATATACATATTTGTTAGATATCATCACACTATATACATATTTGTTAGATATCACCACACTATATACATATTGGTTAGATATCATCACCACACTATGAACATATTTGTTAGATATCCTCACACTATATACATATTTGTTAGATATCACCACACTATATACATATTTGTTATATATCACCACACTATATACATATTTGTTATATATCATGACACTATATACATATTTGTTATATATCACCACACTATATAAATATTTGTTATATATCATCACACTAGATACATATTTGTTAGATATCATCACACTATATGCATATTTGTTAGATATCACCATACTATATACATATTTGGTAGATATCACCACACTATATACATATTTGTTATATATCACCACACTATATACATATTTGTTATATATCATCACACTAGATACAAATTTGTTAGATATCACCACACTATATACATATTTGTTCAGAGGTTGACGTTTAAAGGTTTTAACACATTTAACCTTTTTGGCCCTCATAGTGGATTGAGGTAATTAATGTGAACACCTTTAGAACTTCATCCCTGGGTGCTTCCGAGTAATTATTATCAACCTAGGCATTTTGGCTACTCAGAGGCAAACTTTGTTAAATGTCTTAAACCAATTGCAAAATGCATTAACGTGTCTGTAAATAAGGATATTGAGTGGAAATCATATTCTGATATTACATAATGACATGATAAAAGAAAAATAAAGCTTACCTTTCCATTGAAAACAAGTTGATTCCAATGATAGGTGGCTTGTGACTCAGTTGATCTGATCCAACTTGTCCCCGGGCCGCTTACCGTCAAGGTCATGAACCTTTGGTACCGAACGCTAGCAGTGGCACCGTCCACTCCAGAGATAGGCTACAGTGGGTGAAAAAAGACAATGGATACTGACCAGCATGGACACAGGAGGACCATGCAATGCAGCCATGGCACTTGTCACCTCTGTACTACCAGAACTTTGGCCGAAACTATCAACTTTACTATCATGAAAAAAACTTCAACAATTCAAAACTACACTAAGGAAAAACAGCTTTGGTATTAGAACTGTAAAAATGTGGAACGGTCTTCCCGAGGACGTTGTATCGGCACCTAATATAAACACTTTCAAGAATAGACTGGACAAAATATGGAAAAATCAGGAAATACTTTATAATTATAAGGCAACCATAGATGGAAGTGAACTCTAATATTTAAACATGAGAACATATTACATGTATAATAGAGTCCGGTGTAGAGGAACATATTGTTCCTGTACTGGAAAATAACTATAACTATAACTATAAACGAGAAGGGACTAGTTTATGGACTTGTAGACTATATTCTCTACTTAAAAGAAAGAACAACAAGACAAAGGACCAGATAGAAAGTGCTTAAAAGTAAATACCACTGGGACCACAAGGTGCAGACCAGAAGCTGTATATCTGGTACAACACCGTCAGAAGACCTGGGTGACGTCATAACGAGCAAATAGCAGCAACACATCACGTTAAAATGTCACCGGTGGCCTCACAAAGAACAGCAGAATGAAGACCAACAATAGATGCCTACTAAAGGTACAGCCTACATCCATCCAAGACCTTTGACAGTTATCCAGATGGTGGAGGCGGGTGGAGACGGAATGACTTCGATGACATCCTGTCCAAACTGGCATTATCGTTAAAATTGACGGCGACATTTACTTATATAAGAAGAAGATACAACCGCCGCCGATAAAATGCCCCGCTAGGAGAAGACTGACTCGGCGAAACCTGCGTCAAAGACATCAATGAAAGTCAATAATACGATATAGGACATCACCTTTTCGATGATGACATTCTCAATGTCTGACATCGGGCAGTATTATATTGGATTACTAGGAGTCTTCCTGCTTGTAATACATTTTCTTTCTTCAACTATTTTTCCTGCTTTCACAAGTGTTTCATTTGTTTTGAAAGACCGTTTTTCTAGATAAGTGTGACTACCTTTTCATTCTTTTAATGTTATTTGATCGAAATTCACATTCCTGATAAATCTTCTCGTGTCTCTAACCCCTTTAATGCATTAAGTTATTCCGACAGGTACACAATACACCAACAAGGTACACAATACACCAACAAGGTACACAACACACCAACAACGTACACAATACACCAACAAGGTACACAATACACCAACAAGGTACACACTACACCAACAAGGTACACACTACACCAGCAAGGTACACAATACACCAGCAAGGTACACAATACACCAACAAGGGACACATTACACCAACAAGGCACACAA